CGTGGCCCTCCTCTGGACCCTCTCCAACTGGTTCATGTCCTTCTTATGTTGGGGGCTCCAGAACTGGACGCAGTACTCCAGGTGAGGTCTCACAAGGGCAGAGCAGAGGGGGAGAATCACCTCTCTCGACCTGCTGGCCACGCTCCTCTTGATGCAGCCCAGGACACGGTTGGCCTTCTGGGCCGCAAGAGCACATTGCCGGTTCATATTGAGCTTCTCATCCACCAGTACTCCCAAGTCCTTCTCCTCAGGGCTGCTCTCGATCCATTCTCCGCCCAGTCTGTATTTGTGCCTGGGATTGCCACGACCCAGATGTAGGACCTTGCACTTGGCCTGGTTGAACTTCATGAGGTTGACACAGGCCCACCTCTCCAGCCTGTCGAGGTCCCTCTGGATGGCATCCCTCCCTTCCAGCGTGTCGACGGCACCATACATACATTTTGTTCAAATTTTCTGTTTTATTTTTCATATGTAAGGCACATAGCCATATTTTCTTTTTTTCCTGGCTGTTTAAATTTTTCACATTTGTTCTGATTCGCATATGCTGAATTTCCACCGTTTTTCCTTTGAAAAAATCAGAGATAGTGCTAGAAGTGACCCCAAGATGCAATATAGTCTTAACTATTTGTCCTAAAACAGAATTAGCTATGCCTGTCTTAAGGACTTCTGATGATGGCAGTTGCAAACTCTTCCCACGTAATCTACCGCAGTGCTTCACTGGCCTTATTGTTAGAAAATTTTGCTAGTATCTAATCTAGTATGTAACCTCGTTTTTCCCTTACTAATCTGCCAGCCCATTACTTTTTGTTCTGTATACCATGGCTGTTTGGAACAGAGCATTTCTCCCTCTGAAGTAACTTACATACCTAAAGATGTATACTGTGCCATTCCTGCCCTTGTCAAGTCTTCCCTTTGGGTTGAGAACCCAGTTGGTTCCCAGGTTCCATGCAGACCATTTACAAAAGTTGCTACTTTCTTGCATGTTGGTAGTGAGTTGTGGGTAACCACTCTTGGGGTACAGCAAGATAAACCAAACTAAAGGTAACAACATTTTGCATCAGTCCTACCAATATTTCATCAAGACCGTGTTTCCCTGTCTTGCTTATGAAAATGTTATGTTAGATGGAGTTGAAAGCTTATCTAGATCTACTGCTTCTCCCCAGGCTGTGAAGTCTATTGGTCTGTCAGGGAAAAGAATTTAGTTTGTTCAGCATGTTTATTCTTGACGAGTCCGTGTCTGTCCCTCATTCAGTCACTTTATTCCGGGAGTTTGTAAGTTTTCTGACAATTTGTTTCTGGAATTTTTCTATTAATTGCTCATATTTGAACTTTTCTATGAACAATGATTCAAAAAAAGGGGAAATCAAACACATTTTTTGGCCTTGTCTGTATCTTCTCTTAGTAAATCCCGTCTGTTAGTCAGAGGATGAATGCTCCCCTCATGTGTACCAAGGGACCTCCAGCTTTTCCAGGGCAGCTGAGTGTATTCATAGTTATCCATTGCTTGTCAATCCCCATTGCTTCCAGGAAGCAACGTGGTGCAGATGCAAGGAACTTGCATTTTTCAAAAATGTATATACAGTAACAAAAATCTGTTCCAAAGAGAAGAAAAAGTTCCTTTGATGAAAGATGTGATAAAACTTTATATAGATTATTGCAAAGACTGAGAAGAGTATATCTGATACCATCACATGTGGAAAGAACAGCTATTAAGGCACTTTTTATCCTCCTTTGAGAAGGATACATGAATCAGTGGAAACTGAATGCAGATAGTTTTCAAAGATAAGACGGGTGCAACTTCTTTGAACGGCAACAACGATTAATCATTGCAACAAACTGCTGGTGACTGATTGCCCATCTCTTGAAGCCTGCATGACATTGTGAAGGAAATGTTTAAGCTCAGCAAATCATTAAATTGAATCTTGGTTGATGGATTGAAATTTCAGTGGCTTTCGATGTGTTGTTTCTGTGGATCCTGAGGCCATGGAGATACTCAATGAAGTCGACAAAGTTGTGGAAGCTTAGGCCGGGTAGAGATCAGCTTCCCAGGGTATTTAGAAAGGGCTTTCATGAAAAGAGATGAATGACTTGACGAACTGGTCTAAAATAGAAATCAATGGGTAACAGGCAGAGGAAGAAGATCCTTGTCAGCAAAGGGATGGGACAAGACTGCGGTGTCTGCAGAGCACAAGGCGACGTCTCCACGATAAGGCATAAATGGGACCAGAGCTGTAAAGCCTTGCGGGGAGGCAAAGAGGAGGAGAGTAAACACCGAGCTGTGGGTTATATAGGGAGGGGATGAGCTCCAAAGAGATGGGCAACATCACTAACTCAACCACGTATTTCTGTCCATGCTGTTTTATTTCCTTTAGCACCGATGAGGATTTTGTCTGCCACATGAGACCCAGCACATCAGGTCCCTGATCTCTTCTGCAGCTCTGTTTATTTGCTGCTCTGCTTTGGTAGGATTCCTCTAAACGGCCCTGTGCAGAGAGGAGAGCTTTATCTCCCCCGTGCTGTCCTCCTCCCTGCCCTCTGCACACAGGGATACTCTCCAGAGACCCTGCATAGCAGAGCAGTGAGGTACGTGGCACAAATCCTGAAAGCATTGACCACTCCAGCCATTGGAGCACCGCCTATTAAAAGTAAGATAGAAAAACACACAGGGTTAAAATACTATCTTGTAGAGCTGAATGGAAAGGAAGAATTTTTGCTAGAGACAGATACATGTTTATTAACACTTTTCCAATCTTTTGCAATGCCTACAACAAATATCACTGCCACACAGAGAAGTTCGGTGATTAAAGAATGACTAATGACACCAGCCTGACCAACTGCACTACTTTGGTTAGCCAGGCAGAAATGCATATGTGCCATTTCCCATAGGTACTTGAAAAGGGTTCAATTTAAACCAATTAGTAAAATAGCCTGTTTGGACAAAAAAATAATTGTTCTCTGAGAATACGTGAATTCAACACTGCTAGAAAATCCCTGCCATCTGACGTAGAAGGATTTATAGGTTTAGTGGAAATTGCTTTCCCCACTGTCCAGATTAAATACTGCAGGATGATTTTCTGTATGAGTAAACATCCTTCCAATAACGATCAGACCGATAATGTCTTAAAAAGAGGAACAAGATCTACATTTTGGGTTTCTTCTTCTTGTATGGACTATTTCTGGATACAGAACCTTCAGGTAACATGTTGACTGTCCATAAAATGCATTTTAGCATCTTTCTGCTGTTGTGGGGATGGGTTTTATCCACTGAATGCAGAGCCCACCGACAAGGAAAAGAAATACATGAGGTATACAAAAAAGGCAGGTGAGTCTCTTTTTTTTTACATTCAAATAGCTACAGTTTGGACAAATGTAATATTTCAGGTGAAGATGTAATGACTAACAGATAATTGGAGTTTGCATTTGCAGATTGTGATCTCTCAGTCAAATGTCTGTTGCTGTTTTTGCCAATGAATAAGTTCTAATGCATTTTCTACAGGGAAAAATCATCGCTCCCCCCCTCCAAAAAAAAAGGGTTTGTGAGGTATCTCTGAGTTTGAAATGGTGCAAAAAGGAAGCATTTGATTATATTTATTGTGGTTAAATTGTGGTAGTGTTTACATGAAAGTGGAGAGGAAATTTAGGTCCATGAACATTGTTGCATTCACTGAATACTAGATTGAAATGAGATCTGAAATGAAAACATTCAGAATTTACTTGATTTTTCCCATACCAGTTGTTTTACAGAGCTTTTGAGAGGAAAAAATGAAAGTCTCTCTGCAAACTTCAAGGCTATGGTCAGTTATCAGAGGAAGCAGAAAGAGTATTTTCTTGAATTAAGATATTAAAAATTAAAGATATTTAAAATTATTTAAAATATTGTCTATTCTTCTTTTTCTCCCTGTCTTTCCAAAAGGCTACTTGATGTTTTTCTCCTATTATCTTGTAGAGAGCCATTTAAGGAGGTTTTGAGTCGAAGGTTTTTTGCTACAACTGAGTTCTGATTACTTACATAATATTTGGGCAATATCTGGAAATCTGTATGAGGATTTTTATACTCAGGCACAAAACAAGGTACACCTGGAGCAAAAATCCTTTGGTGTTTTTTTTTGGAGGATATAGCTGACACATTTAGATTGCTGTTCAAATGTTGTGCACTTCTGCTTGTGACAGACTGAACCTATGTCGTTTCTGGTTTGCTATATTCACTGGTTTTGTTCTGTAATGACTCCGTTTCACCATTAAGACAGTAAAGTGTACAGGAATGGAAATGCATTCCCGTGTCCCATCATGTGGAATTCAGTGTGTCACAATCATGAGGATTCCAAACCATTCCTGTTAGCCTTCAGAAAAAATTATTAAAAGGTGGAATGGAAGAATCACATAAAGTACGGTGCCTTTTTGTTTTCTCTTGTAGCAAGTCAGGGCTACATGACAGAGTGATTGCACTGTCCTGGTTGGCATTCGGGGGCCCACGAGTCATCTTATACATAGGAAATGGCTTTAGCAGTGACGTCACCTTCGTGGAGGTACAACTGGCAAAATGGATGCAGTGGCTCTGTTTGCGATCAGCCCCCAAGGGATGCATCCCCAGAGACAGTATGGACTCGAGACAGCCATGAAACCTCTGTTTTCATTGAGGCTTCATGACAGTGGCAGCAGAGGTGATGCTGACTGTAGTGAAATACAGGGGTGAGAAGCAAGGTACCACCATTTGAGTCGAAAAGTGTGCAGCAGAGAGGAATGCATGCACGTAGCCCTGTTCTTGTTTAATAGCACCTTTGACAAAAACTCCCAATGCACCGAATGCTCAACAATGTCAGTGCAATTAAGCGACGATATAACAAATCACAGCAGAAAACAGTGTTAAAAATATGTGAAAATGGAAAAGAAATACCTATTCAGTTCACTTAGGAACTGCCTCTTCACTCACGCTATGCATATATGGTGTAATTGTGCCAGGACAAGCCCATCAGAAAGCCCCACGGTATCACGACTCTGAGAAGCTGGGTCCATCATCCTTTTGGCACACCCACACTGGCCTTAGAGGTCATTTCTGGCCTATTTCTGCCTCAGTAGAGCAGTACTGATGCTGAGGAGGGCTGATGGAAAGAGAGGAGCAATGCTGGTGCGTGGTCATAGGGTTGTCCATTAGCAGCGAGGTGCCCAGTACAGCGCTCAATTTGCCCTGTGATGGGATAGGCCGAGAGAGACCAATGGTTTTAAGAGTCTGATAATTTTTAAGGTCAAAAAGGATAATTACGGTCATCCGTCTGTTTCCAGCTAAGCACAAGCAACAAAGTCTTCTGTATGAATTGTGCAACAAACCCTTAATTTCTGATAATTACCTACAACATCACATAAACTCAGAATAAGATCGCAAGTATTTTTTAACTTCGGCTTCTATCCATTTTCTCCTGTTCTGTGCTAGCTTGTCTTTTCTCCACCTAGATGGATCAAGCTCCCTCTTCATCTCCTCTTAGATATATTCAAAAGACTAAGTTTCTCAGTGTAGGATGTTTCCCAAACCCTGACTCAGCCATTCGCTTGCTTTCCTCTGTCCCTTCACTGCTTTTTCAGGATTGACATCAGGACTGGGTGCAGCCTTCACACAGTCCTCACATAGTTGTTGTGTACAGAGTTACTCCCGTTGACCTCCTGGAATTCTGGTCATGTTCTCCATTGCAGCCCCGCAGTGGGAGATCATGTTTGCCCAACATGACCAGGCATCTGTGCATGGCAGGACAGCTTGTCTTAAAGGTAGGGCCAGTCCTCTTTGTGCTCACATGTAGTTCCCTATACATTAAGATGTTGATTGTATGAGATAGTTTAGCAGTAGGCACGGTTCCTTTGCATTTCAGTGAAAGTCAAGGCCTTTTTCCATCACAGAATTAGATACTGGACAAAAAACAGATCAAGGGGGGGTTGCTATATTACACCAGAAAAAGCTTGCAGTGAAGATTGCTCCTGAACATTTTGTTAGTGACTCTGTTTCCCCTCCCTTCAAGACTCAGCCCTGAATATCAGTTAAGCAAAAGAAGTTACAGCAATTAACTTCGCTACTCCTCTCTGAGCACTGTTATCTCTTGCTCCACAAAGCTTGTGGTAAGGACCAGGATGGAAATCCATCCCTTCACTGCAGCCTGTGTTTTCTGAAGAGAGTCACATGCTTCACTGGAAGTTGATGGGGAAAATCTATTTGAAGTGGAAAAGTCTGGCTCCATACCACCACAGGATGCTCTGGGTGGCTTGATCAGCACCCATAGCCTTCCTAGCCTCCAGAAGCCCTTTAGGGGCACAAGACCAGATGCTTGCCCTACTTCCAGGGCTCAACGCCAGCCACCGGTGTTGGCAGGCACTGCAGGCACCTGCTGTAGAGACCCGTCACCTTGGGTGTGCAGCCAGCATCCTGCTGTCCTTGACAGACGTGTCCAGCTTTGCTCCTGATTCTCACGGTGTAGCTGATGGAGAAAATACACAGGCTTTTAGCTTATTTCTTTGGATGGTGTCATTCTGCAAGTGTTAGTTTCTTCCAAAGAGACTTGCTAGCTCTGAACTCTGTGTTCAAATAAAAACTCACCATTTGCTCAGCCATTTTCAGTGCCTGAGCTTGTCTTTTCATCTACCCAAATCCAGGTGATCCCACAGCCTTTGCTCTCCTGTTGATATGGTGAATGGGAGGCCACAGGGCCAGAAACATTATCTGTCACCATTTTTGGCACTGCAGGTACCCCGAGGCAGCCATTCTAACATGAGACAGAACAACCTTGAAGAAGGGTGAGCAGAAAGGCATGGTTTTCCCCACGAGAGTTCAGGCGTGCACCACAGTCTTTTGGGGACCAGGTTTGCATGACAGGAATTTTGCAAAACGTCCCAAACAATTCCTAAAATAAAGCTGATGAGGCTTAGAGACACAGTGCAGAGTGTGACGAGAAAATGGCAAATAAGTATAGGTCAAAGTATGGATACAGTCACAGTGAAAGTAGCAAAACAGTTTTATTGCATGAGTCCTTCAATATTGTAATTCACTGTAAAAATGTCTATGTGCCAGTCAAAGACTCAACTTATTTTTGCTAATCTCCAGGACAAATCACCTCAAAGGAATTTCACTTCAAAGAGCAGCAATATAAAAATAAAACCTTTCTCACCTTGCAGACCTGTTCGCAGTTTGCAGTCAGCCGGGTGCAAATCCTGCAGAGTTTGCAAAGCTTTGTACTCCTGCTCAATCCACGGTGCCAAAACTCCTACAGGAAGGAGCTGAGATCGGTAGCGCCGGCAACAGGGCTGTCTGCTGCTTTCCCAACTGCTCGGGCTCTTGGAAAGCCACCGGGCTGCAAGGGGCTGACTGGAAGGATACCAAGGGCCACTAAAAGTCACAACATTGTTAAGCCAACAAAAGGGCCAAAGTCTGTCTTGCTAATTAGACTCACAGAATCTGCTAGAGAGGATGAGCAATAGGAAAAGAACCGGCCTGGAGCTGAGCCCAGGTTGTTCTGCCAGAGCTAAGTGCTGGGGAAAAAAATCTCTTTTAACACTAAAATCTCCCTGGACAGCATTATAACCATCTTTCAGACAAACAACTCTCGGCAGAAGAGATCTCACTGTACAAGATTTATGGATCATGTTTGTTTAATCTTAGCTAAGAGACTCTCTTCGTGTTTTTAGCCATGTCCCTACCATTCTCTGGCCATGTTATAATCGTTCTGTCTCACTCTGGTCTCCAAATAGCAACTCATTTTCCGCTCCTCGAGAGCTCCCTGTCCATGTTTCTGTCAGTAAGAGCTATCTTTTACAGCAGTTGAATGACATCCTCCACAACGAGCCCTGGGCTTGTTATCATAAAGTCTCTTTCATAGCCAAAGATCTTTCTCTTTATGACATTTTCAGATGTTGCTACAATTAGTGATACCCATCCTAAGTGATGGAAGCCACCATCATGGCCATGGCTCCTTCCTGGTCCTTTCTCAAAGTCTCAGCATCATACTGAACATTCACAGCATTAAAATTTCCTTCCCTTGCTTTTGCTGAATGTGGATAGGACTTCTGTGTTTTCAGCTCCTCCATCCCCCAGCCATGCTGTGTGCAAGCTGTCTATGCTCTGTAAATCACACATGGCTATCCTGGAACCCTCACCTAAGCTGCCTCTTTCATGTAGAGCAGCTCCTACCCTCTTCCCCTCCTAATGCTTTCTCTGGCCTTATAAATTCATCCCTAACAGGATTTCTTCCTTTACCTCCCAGCAGTCCTCAAGCTGTTCTCTTGTCCTAGAGTTTTGCTCTTGTTATCTTATCTTCAGGGCTGTTCCTGGAAGCACTTATTTGCATG